ATATATATATATAAATATACTGAACTTAGTCCAGAAATTATTCAAACATATCATACTTAATGAATTTCATTTCTTTAATTTTTATGACAGTTCTGAAATTAAAAACTTCTTATTAAAAAAAATAGTAATAATAATTTTTTTTGACATTTTCAAGAGATAAACACACATTTTTTTGAAATATTAATCATAATTTCTACTTTGGCACTTCATTCCCTGTATAGTTGCTTATACTGAAAAGAATTGTCATCTGTCAAAGAAATTCTTTCATTTCCTCATCGAAAAGACTTCAAATAATTAATTATTCTTTGGATTTTTTTCTTAATTTAGTTAATAATTTTTAAAAAATGCACAATATTCTTTAATATAAATTAAAAATTTAAAATTAAAACTATCATTTTAAAGTAATAAAAACAATTAAAAGTGTGCGCCCAATTAATTGTTATTAAATATATTTATAGCCAGGAAATTATTGTTAGAGTGGAAGGAAAAATGTAACAACAATTTCCTGTTTCTTCTGAAGGAACTTAATCAGACGGATAAATTATTAAAAGTTATTTTCAGTTTATTTATAACAAGTCTATTTAAACAATACATAAGTGTGAAGATTGTTCTGTTAATCTTCTAATCACAGATAAACAAAATAATAATAATTGATATATTCTAAATTCATTATTTTAATTAAATTATGATTAAAATTAATTCCGCTTCCAATTAAAATTATTAATTATTAATTAGGTTATAATAATAATAATAATAATTAAATTTTTTAACAATTAAAGTTTATTTCGTATTTTTAATTATTAAAATATTAAAGCGTAAATAAATTTCAAGTTTTCTTACATTTAAAAGCAATTTACGAGAGAATTTCAGTTTAAAATATCACTAAAATGGCATTAACGAAAGGAAAAATGAACTTACCTAAGTAAAAAATATCATTACTGACGTCACAATTGTCATAATTTTTTTAGATATATGTATATATATTTTTTTCGGTAAACAAGAGATAAAGTGACTTAATTTTCTACTTTAATTCGGTTCTAATTAACCGAAGTGTAACGAAATTAAATAGCGTTTCTAGTCCAAATGTTTGCTTCGCTTTGTATCACTCGCATAACGTAAGCCACCCCTCCGCTCGACTGAAAGACATTTGGATTCTGACGTTCGTTATCTAGAGCCACTCGGCTTATGACGTCACCGGGATGAAGTTCTAGCGCCCTCCCGCGACAGAAAATAAATCTTCCAGTTACTAAAAATATAACAAAACAATTCTTCTTCAGGCGAAATTGGTCGCTGCCTGTGTATATTCATTGTAACGAAATTAGTTTTTTTTTTAAAATATATTTTAGGAAAAAAATGCATGCATTACAAGTATATATATAGGCCTATATGCATGCTAAAATAATCGGAATTTTTTCTATATGTATGGATGTTAATGTGTATGGGGGGCACAATTTTGTTCACCCTCTTTAAAGCTTAATAACTCCTGTGTTTTTTGTCAAAAATTTCTGAAATTTTTCAGGGAGATTTGTGTATTAGGGGGTTTGATGCTGTTAAATTTTGGTTGTTAGAGGTCGGGGGATGAGAAGATAAAGGGGGGTGTCGTATGTCGTATCTCGAAGTTAATGACGAATTTACTCGTTATCAGCATTTACAATTTTTATAATAAAACCCATCTTTACCGTCAAAATTAATCTTTTTGCCATTTTATAATAGTTAAAAATATAAAAAGTTTTTTAAAATAAAATATTATAACAGATGGAGCCAAACGCAGTTTTAAACGTTGCCGGGAAAGTAAAGCAATTCGTTGCTGTATTTTTTTTTAAATGAAATTTATAAATAAATTCATAAAATCAAAATAAAATCGTTTTAAATGAGTTTAATATGGCAATAAAGTTTTTCTTTCTAAATTTAATGGTACTTAAAATTTTTCATTTAACATATATTATCTAGAAATTAATGTTGTGTAAAATGAGAACAATGTTTAAGTGCACGAAAAGAAAAAAAATGAAGAATATTTTCGATTAAAATTTTAGCTATCGTTAATCGAACTACTGTTATCACCTTTTCAAGCGACCTTTTGCTCAGATCTTGAAGAAAAGTCGATAGAAAAATGTCTTGAAGGGAATGAAAAAGCTTTTAAACCTACGAAAACTGATCCTAAAATTAATNTTCAATAATTAAATTACTAATTAAGTATAATGTTTTATTTGTTACATTTAAATTAATTAATCTTATTAGAAAATTTTGTAAAAATACATAGTGTATATTTTGAGATTAATTATTAAAATTTAACGACATGCTGTATTGTGTTTGTATACAGGGTGGCCCAAAAATCAGTTTACTAAGATTTTTTAAAATAATTAAAATCGATTCGAAATAGTTACCTTACTGCATTCAAAATTGATTTTAACCGTTTTAGAAATATATCTTAGTTAAATGATTTTTGAGCCACATATATTATGCAAAAGTCTACGTTACAGCCTAACTCAAATGTATTCTTTCGATGGCCTGATAGAAGCATTAACTTGCTTCTGTAAGAGACCGGGTTCGAATCCGCATAAGATTTCTAAAAATTTTCGCGAAGCCTCATAAAAATTTCACTAATTTTTACGGATTGATCTAAATATGTTGGGTTACATCCCTATATCTATCACCATTACAGGGTCTACCAGTGTACACAAGACTAAAGCAATCGAACACCGGTTTGGTCGTGGGTACGTGCCCGACCAACGTGGAGTTTTCCGGTTATTCTTTACGTGTATAACATTTAAATAGGGGTCAGTTTCCCATAGAAAATCCTGACATCCTTAGCAAATCGCAAACGTGGTTACGTGTTACCATCAATCCTATCCAATCTAAAATGGACATGAAAAATATCTAGACTCAGCCCGTATGAGGAACAAGGAATTTTATAAAATTGTAATTTAAAAATAAAACGAATTATCTTTAGATAAAATAATATATAACATGTCAAATTATTAAATAATATAATAATTATAAGAAACATTCTGAAAATAAACAACTTCCTCTTTAATCTTCCATTCATTTGTGTACACAAAAGGAAGTGATGTTTTCATTTTATTGATCCATAAAATTCATTTACTTTTCCAGAAATATAACTTTACTACAATAAAATGACTCTAAAAGAAAATTATATCTTCATATTTTTTTTTACTTAAAACATTTTAAATAAGACATAAATAAAATTTCAAAGTTTAGTAATATTTAATTTAAATATTAAAGAATTTAATTAGAATATTATATTATATATTTTTCTCTTCTTTAAATTTCAAGAATGATTACTCAATAAATTATTCATAAGATTTTTAAGATAAGGAAATAAGATAATATTCTTTTCGATGGGTAATCGCTTTTAAGATGGAGTTTGCCATAGATAATTTGATTATTAATAATATTCAAGATTCTGTAACTTATTTAAAAATTTTTTTATTAAATCCTTAAAATGTAGATAATTATTATTTATAAACATAGTCACAATGCCAAGCGGAAATTTTAATTAATCATATTTTTAATTTATTTAATTTAAAATATATGCTCCCCACCTCAAATTAGTTGTGGCTCGCCCCTGTAAATCATACTTTTCCGTAAATGACAGAGTCGTGCTGGTCAACATCTTTCAGGGGAAAATTTTTTAAATGAAATAACGTCACTTCCGGTTTAAACCGGAAGTTCGTTTATAGTTAATTAAGGCCTTCTGCTTCTATATTGTCCAGATCTTATCTCGAAGTTTGTCCATCTAAAACCATTCTCGAGTTATCTTCTCTACAAAATTGTATGGTTTATGGTAATTATTTTAATATTATATTTTATCATATGTGTTCGTTATTAAGTTTCATTTGAATTATTTAGATAAAATTTATTTAGAAATTTAAATTTATCTATAATAATCAAAGATGTTAAGGCGTGTCCTTATGAATCCACATCTTAGGAACTCGTATTTTTGTATATACCATTAATTAGTAAAAAGGAAATGTCTGTTATATGTTATATGTTATGGCAGTAGTTTTCAACTTGGGTGAGACAACATATCTAAGTGCTGCAAAGATGAAGTGCTGTGTAACATCATAACACATGTAAATATTAAGCTCGATAACTCTACATTGATAAAGAAGAAGTTACCAAGTGGGATGCCACTATTAGAAGCAGTGGCGTGTTGTTCAGTGGAAAAAATAGGCAATTACCTGGGTCTCCAGAGCAGGGTGTTCCAAACTACAGGTGTTTCCAGTTTGGACCGAAAGTTACGTTATTTCAATTCAAACATCTTCTTAAAGAAGTTATATAGATGACTGGCATGACTCTATTGTTAACATAAAAAGTGTGATGTACAGGGGCAATACACTACTAAAATTGAGGGCATTGTGATGAAAAATTACAGCTCACATGTGTATGAACCGTGCTAACATCCAAAGGAACATTTTGGGAGGGTAAACAACACAATGCACAATCATGATCCATTGTGTTGGCGAATATCACCGTTGGGTACAGATGTTTGATTAGTTGGACAAAGGAGACATACGGATGTGACATCATTCGGAAGAGACATCACTTCCGGAGATTAAAGATATTTCATTTTCTACAATGTTAATCCTAAATTTATTACATAAGACATCAAAACTTAGAAATTTTTATTGTGTTCGGTAGACAAATTTCAAATTCAATAATTAAATTACTAATTAAGTATAATGTTTTATTTGTTACATTTAAATTAATTAATCTTATTAGAAAATTTTGTAAAAATACATAGTGTATATTTTGAGATTAATTATTAAAATTTAACGACATGCTGTATTGTGTTTGTATACAGGGTGGCCCAAAAATCAGTTTACTAAGATTTTTTAAAATAATTAAAATCGATTCGAAATAGTTACCTTACTGCATTCAAAATTGATTTTAACCGTTTTAGAAATATATCTTAGTTAAATGATTTTTGAGCCACATATATTATGCAAAAGTCTACGTTACAGCCTAACTCAAATGTATTCTTTCGATGGCCTGATAGAAGCATTAACTTGCTTCTGTAAGAGACCGGGTTCGAATCCGCATAAGATTTCTAAAAATTTTCGCGAAGCCTCATAAAAATTTCACTAATTTTTACGGATTGATCTAAATATGTTGGGTTACATCCCTATATCTATCACCATTACAGGGTCTACCAGTGTACACAAGACTAAAGCAATCGAACACCGGTTTGGTCGTGGGTACGTGCCCGACCAACGTGGAGTTTTCCGGTTATTCTTTACGTGTATAACATTTAAATAGGGGTCAGTTTCCCATAGAAAATCCTGACATCCTTAGCAAATCGCAAACGTGGTTACGTGTTACCATCAATCCTATCCAATCTAAAATGGACATGAAAAATATCTAGACTCAGCCCGTATTAATAACTCCTGTGTTTTTTGTCAAAAATTTCTGAAATTTTGCAGGAATGTTTATATATTAGGATTGATGCTATAAAATTTTAGTGCTTAAAAATCAAGGAAAAACAATAACAAAGACACCAATAATAGTATTAAGATATAAAAGCTGGCAAAGTTGTTGTTGGAATTTCCCGTAATTTATTTGTTTTCATCCCTAATAATTGCTACTATCATCCTTAAGTCTTCAGATTGTTTCGGGAGATAAGAGAGTTTAAGCTATACCTCTCGAATTGATAGTCCGATTTTCCTGAAAATTTCTACAAACATATCCCCCTAATACGCAAATCTTTCTGCAAATTTTCAGAAATTTTCGACAAACCGCATAGGAGTTATTAAGCTTCAAATTGGATGAACAAAATAGTGCCCCCACATACATACATAGAGAAGAAACTCCCAAAATATTTTACATTTTAAATTCACCCGAAAACTTATTATATATATTATTAAGAAAAAACTTATTCGATATTTAATAAGGTTAATTGAGAAAATTATATTTAAACTCCTCGAGATACAACAGCATTTTTGTTTTTTCTCCGCATCCTTGATACGTTTCGTTACTATGACAACTATCTGATGCTGAGTTATCCCGATTATCAGTACGTCATTTTAATTTTATATTCAAGTAATTTTCGCTAATAAAATATATTTTATAAAATATTTTTTTTTTCCATTAATTAG